ATACATTAGCCTGAGGATTATTCCACAACAAGAACTTATGGCTAATTTCCACAACGCTCTTGAGTTTTATTTTTAAATAGAAAACTTACCGGTGACCCGAAATTTCGATGCTAAATTTCTTACCAGCATTAGGCAGAATTTTTCCAGTAGTCTGGTTTTCAGCATCTTTCAACTCTTTCAAAACACCTCATAAAAGATTTTACAATCGAGGTCTATTTTAATTCTCAGCGATCCATTTACTCAAACAAATATTGCCGGAGGGTATTTCTGACATCTCATCCTTATTTCCATAATTCACTAAGAATAATGAATGCCATAAAAGGAACTGTTCCTATCATTGAATCAAATTTTCAATGAACGGGTATTATCGGCATGCATGAACCTATGAACTTTGTGAGGATAGCTACGAAAAGTTAGCAACGAAATGCGAAACGATATAGTTGCATTTTAGTGATGCTAGCAAAGAACAACCATCTAACAATGGTTGCAAATTAGACATGCTAAAAGATAACTGATACCTGAGGTCGAATCGATATCAGCGGGATTTGCTGTACCATACTGTGAAGCGGACATATTGCGCCAAGTTAAGATTAGCTCCTTTAAGGAAAAAGCTTTGTCTTTCGTGTTAATAGCAGCTTTTTTTATTGTTATTCCAGAGAAAGTGGGCCTTCACTAACACGACACACACGCATACACACACGCACGCACACGCAGACACACACACGCTCACATTAGCATGTTAATGTGCACATATTGTCACTAATCAATTCGGCCTTCAACAATGTCAAAGGCTCGGCGCAAGTAGCACAACTAAGCCAATTATAAATGATGGATGGGATCAAAAAGAAGTCAAATTACATAGGAACATAACTGGAAACATGTCATCCTCCAGGATGCCATATATCGATGAATAGAAGTCATATTTGATGATAAATGTGTTGATAAAAATGCTCAGCATGTCAGCCTATCATATATCTCAATTTTTTCCTTAGTGAATGAACTATAGAATTGTATTCCATTTTTTTTTACTGAACTGTAACTAACCATCCTAAGGTTGTTTATATTTAATGGATTTATATGCTTTAGATGAGACTAAAGTTATTCATATAATTATCAATAAACAGGAGAAAAATAAATCAATGTATGGAGTAAATTATTCATTCTACTGAAATTTGAACATTCGAGTTGCAAACATTTTTACAATGAATCACTTTCAATTTTTTTACGAAAATATTTATCTAATCAACAGTGAAAAGTAAAACTATTCCCTCGCAGTCACTGCATATTGAAATTTATTTGGTTTTTTTAAATACAAAAAAAAGCAAATAAACAAAGTTTTGGAAACTGTTGAAAATATTTAGAAGAGTGTAAATTTTGTGAAGGTGCAACTTTATTGTCTTAAGTTCGTTCGTTTTTTCTTTTTTATTTATTGGGAACTTTCAACCTTTTGTTGAAAAAGTTCATTTCTGTTCATTGAAAATAGAAAAGCAAGAAACCATTTTATAGGCGGAAATGTCATCAAAGACTTTTGTGAAGTAATGATAAGTATTTTTTTAAATCAGTAATACTGCAGCTATCAAATAATCTAACATTTAAACAACAGAACACATTTGGCATCGTTGTCATTCCCTATTGTCATTTCCTCTTTTCTGCATTCTGTTTTCTTGGTATAGCCAACATTTCATCTTTTGTAAGAATTACAAAGAGAAATGCACAACCAATTCGTTACTATTACTGTCAGAAATTTCCGCATTTTATTAGAAAGATAGTTGAATTTACAAATATGATAAAATTTTTCGTGGTTGAAATTTCTGAATCAAACCATTTTGTTAAATTTTCTTCCACCTTTGCAAATCCATTGCATATAATGGAAAAAAAGGTATGTTTTGCAAATGATTAATTTTATTTAATCGTTTAATCTTCCGAAAGCTCAAGAAAATGGTACAATACATTTTTGAAAAATTTTTGTCGATAAATATTAGAAAATAAAACTACCAAATGATTTCAACTGCATCTCAAAATGTAAAAAATCCTTATGATAATTCATATCTTGGCTAGTACTGGAAAGTGACACCACTTTTTTTCAACAAAAAAATCTTTCCCATAACATTTATCAAGGGACAAACTTAATTTTGCTAAACTTTAAAATTCAGGTGTGAAAATTACCGAACTACCACAGCATAAAATTTCCAGTTTTTCTCAAAAAACCAATTTATATTAGAGTGATCGAAACAAAATATTCCTTAAATTTGTTGCCCAAATTTTTAATTCCGTTAATGGATTTCATGACGTATTTCCTCACTTCACTTAATCCAATTTGAACAACGATAAAAATGACTAGGGATTCTAATTTGTTCAGCGTAAAAAATTAATTTCAATAATGAAAACTGAAAATAAAATTGGTACTTGCCCATGACATTTTAAATGTCAGGGAAGCCTGAAATTTCGAATATAAAAGAACAAAAAATCCATCGAAAAAGACAAATAATTTTCATCCTTGCTGTATTGCTCGTAATCGTAATGAGCCTCAAAAAAGCTGTGAAACTCATAGTTATGTAAGAGGGCTTAACCAAAATAACCAATGAAAAGCGCATTAATATCGATTCAGAAGCATGACATCATCCACACAAAATTTTTTTGTATTTAGGAAATATGGTAACAATGAAATGCATACGTCATTTCTTTGATTCTGAATTAATTGGAAAGGAGGAATGTGAAACTGGTTATACTTGAAAAGTAAAATGACGATAAGAGAAATGATAACAGCTTGAACCCTGAAAAAAAGAGAAAGTTAAAAATTGATCATCTAATGATACTAATACCTTAATTGATCAAATGAAAAGAGCAATTATTGATGAAATGGTAAAATAGACCGCATTTTCTTGGCTTGATTAATGTGAGATAAGTATTCATCAATAGCTTTCATTAAGTTCTGACAGTCTAACTGAGCTCGAAATATTTTGTAATATTATAATACAGTGAACAAAGGCTGCTTTGTGCTTTAACGGAAATGAGAGGAATAACAGAAGATTGGAAAATAGTAATGAGTAATTTTTTTAATTACTACGAAAATCAGTAACTCATATATAGCTTTTTTAGCTCATTTCCAGCTCCACTATGCTTTTTTTTCTTTATTACAACGTGACCATTTCAATCAAATTAAATGAATGAGGAATTTTTAGGAAATCATTGAAATATTTAATGCATAAAAACTGTTTTAACTAGTAAGGAAGCAAATTGAATTGTTGAAGCAAAATGATGACTAGCGTTTGAAATGTTAGCCAAAATGACCAATGTATGGTATATTTAGGGAATATGGTAACAGTGACGATACAAACAGCTTACTCTGTTCAGAAATAACATTCCGCAATTTTTCAATTTTAGATTTAGATTTACAGGCTTTCAAGAATATGGATTTCCTTACTCTTCTAAGATTGGATGCCGACCCAAATTGAACAAATTTATCTACTTTATAACTCGGTGACAACCAATTTGTAACAGAAATAAATTGCATTTTGCAGAAATTTTCAAACACACTACACAAATGGCTTCTTGACTGTTGAGGTCTTCTCTTTAATTTTTCATTGTTCCATTTGCTAAGATTTGAGAATCAATCACATCAAGAACTCCGCACATTTAAGTATTTCACTACCATAAGATTGAATTTAGTGTATTGTCCAACCATTCAAAACTAAATTCCCTTAACGAGAAAAGGATCTGACTATGGTACACAATACCATGCATTTTATCCCAGACAATGATATGCAACATTGGGCATTTTACCATCATGCCTCATGTAAAAAAGCCCACCATCAAAAGATACGTGGACATTTTCTGTTTGAATCATGACTGAATTGCCATAAAATAATTTTACAAGTCACGAGAGTCAAAAAATTAAACTTATTTTGAAGTAAATCTTGCACCCGACTAAACATTCAAATTAAAGAATATAATTTTTACAAAATAAAAATGTATATCACTTTTATGCGCCAAATCTTCGTTACTCACTTTAGGTAAAGTGATCGTTATCAATAAACTGATAATAGTAACAAAATGATATATTACGGAAAGCACGACCAGATTAGTTAACCTAGCAAAGAGGAATCGCTACCTGTTTGTAGAACAAAATTTGTACAACAAAAAAAAATACAAAGCATTGCAAACCTTAAATAGAGTAATGCAAGCATTATACGTAATTAGTCTCAAATCAAATAAAATTGAGGTACAAATGCAAAGGTATCCTTTATGCTGCGCACCACGTCTGCATTGGCAAACATTTTTAAACACCGTCATACTTAATTCAAAAGTTCTCAATAATATTTGCGTAAAAATTTGTGATAATGGAAGTGTATAGCAACGAAAATACCACAGCATTTACGGTTGGTGATAATACTAACGGAATCTAATTATATGGAAAAATAAATAAACATTATATCATAAGTTTATCACAAAAACATTGTTGTACAGTTGAAATTTATAGAATCTACCAGTTCCCCTCATTTGCTGATTTTATAACATCTGGAAATTGCCCTCAACTTACTGGCTGGAAAATGAACTTTTTTAAAATGAATTTTGCATATCTAGAGTTGTCTTTACGAGCAAATGAGGTATGAGAGTAATAGTTTATGCAGACTACAAATGAGCAACATAAACGAATCATTAGTAAACAAATCGACTTCGATCGTATTGTTTCCAATAACTTTATTCTAAACTATAGTAATCTGATAACAAATACAGTAGTTCAAAAATCTTTACATTCCAAAATCAAAAACACATCCCAATCTAAATCGTTTACCATATGCACATTTAACGAAGTAAATATGATTTAGATAACAAACATAATAAACCTAAAAATAATATACAAAATATGTATTTAAAGATGTTCAACATTTCAACTATTATTAGCTTCGCTGATAATCAAACAACTACCTTACATTCTTTATTAATATAATGATAGACAGTATATACAATATAAGAAAAATATAAATACGTGTGCGGGATTATTCTTCATCGTCATCATCATCTCCCTGTGGCCGAATTGTGATTTCGCGCACGGTTGCATTTGCCATCGCACCAAGCAGGACCTTTAACAAAGCACTTTCATAGCAGCGGAACCGAAAAGAAAGTAGATCCTGAATCTAATACCATAAAACTTCGCTGATAATCAAACAACTGTTTTATACTTTTTATTAAAATAGTAATACACTGTACTGAATTAACATGTATGGAAGAATGATTTGTTGGGAAACATGATAAAACTAAACTTATTTTTCATAGCTATAGCTCAAAAATTATTCATTGTAGACAATGAAGTAAAGAAATTTTACTTCCGGACAAGAGACGAAAACGTAGTGGTCGTTTTCATATGTTCCACAAAGTTCTCGCACCTTTTCTTGCAACTGGGAATTTGTTGTGACCCAAATTGTATAAACATTTGCTGGCGAACAAATCAAACATTCTTCAAGCATCGGTAAATCAGTTTCAGAGTCACCACATACCAAAATTTTACCACAATTTAGTTTCAATCCCATTTTTGATTTGATCAAACGAATTCCATGACCCTTATTAAAAATTCGGCCAGAAATCTTCGCCTAAAAAAAGAGATCAAATAAAAAAAACTTAGCAACAAGAAGTTAACGAGTAGAGCGAAGTTATGTGCCAGTTAAAGTTATGCCTCAGAAACTGAACTTCAACATTTTCTTATAACTGGAATGTGGATTCTTGGTTTATGCAACAGATTTCTTTTTAAAGAGCAATCTGCATTAACATTATTTATCAGTCATAAGAAATATGTATGATGTAATCAATAAGAATGAAGAGTTGATAACAATATCAAAAATTACCGTCGCACTATTAACTTCTGACAGCGCTACTTTCGTGAAAATCTTCAAATCAAATTCACCCTCTCGTAATGCTAGAGTTGCAGATGTAGGATCTACTTCATTCACTATTTTACATACTGCCTGGTATCTGAAAACACGGAGCAGTAAATTTTATTTTCATGAAATCTTAAATCGAATATTTTGTTAACTGACGATTAGCATAAGTCTATCAGTTCAGAAGTGATTTAAAGAAATAAATTAAAAAACAAACAAAAGGGATGAACGATGCTTAGGAACTGAATAGTTGACATCTTGACGAGCAATTGTAATATGTCCATAATGTCTCTGTAGACCAGAACCAATCCACGTGAAGTTACGATATTCCGGTTGTTCAAGTAATTCTTCCAGCTGAAATATATCGCATTAAAATCTCATTAGTTTATTCGAATATTCCACTTTAATTGTGAACCATTCTTCATACTCTTTCAAAGACATTTGTTAGCAAAGCCAGATCTGCGTCATTAACACTATCATCTTTGAACTGCAGCGACGGATTTAAATACCATTCACGACCAGCAGATGCACCATATGCATAGTAGCCTTAAAAAATATTTTAATAAACAAGAATGAAACTACTACAGAAATATTTAAAATACGATTCATGAGATATTTCACTATTTTAATATGGTAAATACAACTGTCAAGTTCAGTTACATCTTATATTCCATTTCCAATACTGTGATAATCCAAATAACTGCAGAATAATTCAATCAAAAATAAAATTAAAAAAATTATTCAGTAAATATAATATATTCATAAGGATGACAGATTTATTAATTAATCGTTTATCTTTTTCATATATTGTAGAAAGTAACGTCAAGAATGATAACATTTATAGAACATGAAGAAGGTGCAGAACGATGGATGAAATGGAAGGAGAAGGAATAAAATAAAAGTACCAAGCAACGTTACTGATAGCATCGGCAAAATTTCATCTTATAATGTTTATGATGGCGACAATGATTGATTGATTGCTTTCTCTATTTCATTTATATAATAGATTTGCTTTCAAAAAAAAAAAGAAAGCAAATCGAAAAATGGTTGATAGTTTCGATCAATTTAATTTAAAATTTAAATTTCAATCACTTCAAATAAAAATTTCAGACGATCGAATTACGTATGTATGAATAAAATCTAGCTGAGTAACTCCTCATAAGACAAAAAGTTAAATTGCAAAGAAATACAAAAAACTGCTAAAAATTTTCCGATATATTTTAGGCATAAAAATAACATCTATCAGGATAGATTTATTTTAAATTTTAATTATGCATTGCACAAGCATTCCCCAACGATACTATTTTCATTATTCCACTAAAAAAGTACAACCATTAAAGAACCAAAAACCAAAGATAAATCCGTAATTTATTTTCAATTCATTGTTTATCTTTTGGAAAATTCTTATGCACATATTTTTGGAGCAGCCAGTATTGCTAAATTGTAACTTTTAAAAGAGAAAGAAAAATAAACTAAACTTTACCATTTATGATTACAAAAAAAAGTTTACTTCCAACAAAAAAGGAAGGAGATCATTATAAGCCCGTTTTTTTCTTTTCGAAATTTAAGCAACAATAAGCATTATTACATC